TGATTAGTCTATTAGCTAATCACTAACTAGTCTATTGATTCAAAGCTTATTATACAAAAACGTACGTTGCGTTTTTCCATTTTCTAAAAGCACTAAACAGATTACAATTGTACCAAACTTTCCATTCCAGTGACTTACAAAAGTAAGAGTGCCTCACGACGTTTACATTTTCTAAAAGAGCTTAGAGTAAAAAATACCTTAGAAGATTTGAAACATGTTTACACTTATTTGTCCTATTTTCAAAACTAAACCCATACTATTCTCTAACTGTACGTTTAATTCAATATACAATATTTGTAACAGCGATCAAACTTATAAGTTTGTAACTAGTATAAGTTTTTTTTTCTACAGTTGCTTACTTCAGTCTAATAATTTCATCATGTGACTAGTTTTATTCACAATTATTTGCAATTGTTGTTGTTGTGTTTTATGTAGCGTTTTTTTTTTCTTCTAATATTTCAAAGCATAAACTTTTCATAGATATTCGTTTGCCTTGGCATTTTTTGAGGCAATTTGAGTGCATTCACCCCAGAAAATAAAAATGCAACCAAAGCAAAATGCATTTGAAACTGACTGACGCGTCATATGTGTCGTCTATAAGTGCGTAGGCAAATAAAATGTATGTAAAAAGAAATTGTTTTTCTAGTACTTTTCCATAAAGATTTTGCAAAAACTTAGTCAGTTATAAAAAGCTTTTTGTGAAATTAGGTAAAAATATATAACATCAAAACATTTTAAAGGATCTCTCAAGAGGTTTCAAGTTGTAATGCTCGGTATCATGCATAATAATTTTCTATACTTCGCTTAGGGGAAAGAAGTTTATGTTGAAAGTATATTATAAGTTTTATATTTTATTTAGTTGGTATAAGTTATAAAAAGAGTTGTGTAAGAATATGCCAAAGTGTAATTATTTTTGATATGATTTGATTACAACGGGCCCCTAATTTGTTCGACGCTGCTGTTTTTTTTCAAGCTTGGCTCTCAAAATCTAGTTACTGTTAAATAATAATTTTGTTTTGAAACACTTTGTAAAGTATGTTAAAAAAGTTAATGTACAAATTAATAGATAAAGGAACAATGTGGAGAAATTGGATAGTTAGTCAGCTAGGTAGGTAGTTAGTTAGTTAGTTAGTTAGTTAGTTAGTTAGTTAGTTAGTTAGTTAGTTAGTTAGTTAGTTCGTTAGTTAGTTAGTTCGTTAGTTAGTTAGTTAGTTCGTTAGTTAGTTAGTTTAGTTAGTTAGTTAGTTAGTTTGTTAGTTAGTTAGTTCGTTAGTTCGTAGTTAGTTAGTCGTTATTAGTTCGTTTGTTAGTTCGTTCGTTCGTTCGTTAGTTTTCGTTTCGTTAGTTAGTTCGTTCGTTCTTTCGTTCGTTCGTTCGTTCGTTCGTTCGTTCGTTCGTTAGTTCGTTCGTTCGTTCGTTTTCGTTCGTTCGTTCGTTTCGTTCGTTCGTTCGTTCGTTCGTTCGTTCGTTCGTTCGTTAGTTCGTTCGTTCGTTCGTTCGTTCGTTCGTTCGTTCGTCTTCGTTAGTTCGTTCGTTCGTTCTTCGTTTCGTTCGTTCGTTCGTTCGTTATTCGTTCGTTCTTTCGTTCGTTCGTTCGTTCGTTCGTTCGTTCGTTCGTTCGTTTCGTTCGTTTCGTTCGTTCAGTTCGTTCGTTCGTTCGTTCGTTCGTTCGTTCGTTGTTTCGTTCGTTCGTTCGTTCGGTCGTTCAGTTCGTTTCGTGTTCGTTCTTCGTTCGTTCGTTCGGTCGTTCGTTCGTTTCGTTCGTTCGTTCTTTCGTTCGTTCGTTGTTCGTTCGTTCGTTCGTTCGTTCGTTCGTTCGTTGTTCGTTCGTTCGTTAGTTCGTTCGTTCGTTCGTTCGTTCGTTCGTTCGTTCTTCGTTCGTTCGTTCGTTCTTTTCGTTCGTTCGTAGTTAGTTCGTTTCGTTCGTTCGTTCGTTAGTTCGTTTCGTTCGTTCGTTCGTTCGTTCGTTCGTTCGTTCGTTCGTTTCGTTCGTTCGTTGTTCGTTCGTTAGTTCGTTCGTTTCGTTCGTTCGTCGTTTCGTTCGTTCGTTCGTTCGTTCGTTCGTTCGTTCGTTCGTTGTTCGTTCTTCGTTCGTTTCGTTCGTTCGTTCGTTCGTTCGTTCGTTCGTTCGTTCGTTCGTTCGTTCGTTGTTCGTTCGTTCGTTCGTTCGTTCGTTCGTTCGTTTCGTTCGTTCGTTCGTTCGTTCGTTCGTTCGTTCGTTCGTTCGTTCGTTCGTTCGTTCGTTCGTCGTTCGTTCGTTCGTTCGTTCGTTCGTTCTTCGTTCGTTCGTTCGTTCGTTTTCGTTTCTTTCGTTCGTTCGTTCGTCGTTCGTTTCGTTCGTTTCTTCGTTCGTTCTTTCGTTTCGTTCGTTCGTTGTTCGTTCGTTCGTTCGTTCGTTCGTTTCGTTCGTTCGTTCGTTCGTTCGTTCGTTCGTTCGTTCGTTAGTTCGTTCTTTCGTTCGTTCGTTCGTTCGTTCGTTCGTTCGTTCGTTCGTTCGTTCGTTCGTTCGTTCGTTCGTCGTTCGTTCGTTTCGTTCGTTCGTTCGTTCGTTCGTTCGTTCGTTCGTTCGTCGTCGTTCGTTTCGTTCGTTCGTTCGTTCGTTCGTTCGTTCGTTCGTTCGTTCGTTTCGTTCGTTCGTTCGTTCGTTCGTTCGTTCGTTCGTTCGTTCGTTCGTTCGTTTCGTTCGTTCGTTCTTCTTCGTTGTTCGTTCGTTCGTTCGTTTTCGTTCGTTTCGTTCGTTCGTTCCTTCCTTCTTTTTCGCCTTCCGTCCCCGTGCTCTTTTTGGCCTCCCTCTTTTCCCCTCGCTCCCCCCGTCGTCCCTCTTTCCCCTCTTGTCCGCCCCCTTTTCTCCCTCCTTTCCCCTTCCTTTCCCCGTCTTCCGTTTTACCCTTAATTTTAAGTTAGGTCGTATCTCCTTGTTTTTTTGTTCATAAAATCAACAATTTTATCTACTATACAATACTTTGCAATACGTTTAAAAAAGTGACAAATTAATAAGTCAGAGTGCTTTTAAATACTCTAATATTTATAGGAAAATTATCATATTAGGGGATACTTTTTTACCAATAATAGTAGAAAACTATACACAACGAACATATTTTCCTACTTTAGGTTGAATTCGAATACGGACCTGAAATTTCAAAAGCCTAGTTTAAATTTAACAAATTTTATAAAAATTTATTATATTTTTTTTTTTTAATTTACACCATAATATTATGCATACCTACACTGTTATATATAATTTACATTTGATAAAATATTAATTAAGCAAATTGTAATGACATTAGGAATTACTATTATATTATTTATCTTGTCAAGGGAATTAAATAATTTCAAATAGCGTTTCCCTATCATGATGATGAAATATCAATTCATTTTGTTAAATTAATAAGTTCATCGTAAGAAATTAAATAAACATAACAGATAACTAAAATTGAAATTCAAAACAAAGATATTTGAATTATACCTGGTGATATGTTTAAATAATGTTGAGAAACCCTGATCTAGTATAGGTGTAATAAGTATGACAAAGTAGAGTGAATAAAATAGATCTAATAATTATTCTGATATTGTTAGTTAATAGGAAAAAACCCATAACTACAATTATCATTTGGTAAGCACTTTTTATAATTAAAATCGATTTTCTTGGAAATTTCAAGAGGTTGAACTTGAAGGATACATACATATATGACCGAAAAAAATTTACACTATTGATAAGGAGTTTTCATCATATATTAAAAAATTCAGTGGATCTTATTTTGGCGAAAACATGAATGTTATAAGGATACATCTAAGTTGGTGCAGTTATACCATTGCGTAATCGTCTAAGATGTTTGTGGTCCTTCGCTCCGTTATTTCAAGTTCCCTACCGTTTAGATCTACATCCAAAAGTAAATTTATTTTCTAGTCAAAATTTTTATCAATAGTAATAGGCGACACAAAATTTTCTGAAAAACAAAATAGAGAAAAATTAAAAAAAATCGATAAAAAAATTATTTTCTAAAGAAAATCATGAGAGACAAGAAAATTTCTTGTAAAAATATATAAAATTCTTCTGAAAATAATTCAATAAAAATTAATTTTCTAAAGCAAATCATGAGCGACAAATACTAATATAAAAAAATCATGATAAAATTCTATAGAAAGTCATAATGTGACAAGCAATTTCTGAAGAAAATTATAAGAAACTTATTTTTCTAGGGAAAAATTTGGTAAAAATTCATTTTCTAAGAAAAATTATAAGCGACAAACAAGTTTCTATAAAAAAAATTGGTAAAAATGTATTTATAAGTAAAATTCGATAGAAAATCATAAGCGACAAGCAATTTCTAAAGGTAATTATAAGCGACAAACAAGTTTTTATAAAAAAATAAGTAAAAAAATTATTTTTTAAGAAAAATTGTGGGCGACGAACAATTATCTAAAAAAAATCATTGGCATAAAGTAAAATGTATTAAAAAATAGAAATACATTTTATAAATAAATGATGAAAATTATAGGCGATAAGCAATTTCTGAAGGAAATTATAAGCGTTAAACAAGTTTATATTGAAGAAATAATATTTTTTTATAAAAAATTATGTGCGACAAACAATTTTTGAATCAAATGATTCTATTATTGTAAATTTAAATTGAAAATTATGGGCGACAAGAAAATACCTTAAGAAAATTATGGGCGACAAGCAATTTTACAAGAAAATTATAAGCGACAAACAATTTTCTTAAAAAATCGTGCTTTTTTATAAAAAATAATGGGCGACAAACATTTATATGAAAAAGGCTATTGGCGACATATAAAATTCAGTTGAAAATCATGGGCAATAAGAAAATTTCTTAAGAAAAATATGTGCGACACACAAGTTTATATGGAAAATTATTCATATTAAGTTAAGTTTCTATTGAAATTTCTTTTCAATAAGCTAATTTTTAAGAAAAACGTGGGCGACAAACTATTTTCGTTCTTGCATTATCGAATATTCCTCAGCGACCTGATATTGAAGT